AAGGAGGAGGAGGGGATGAAGAGAAATGGAGAGGGGGAAAAGAGGAAAGATAAGAAGAAAGATAAAACAGGAATGAAATGAAAGAGGGCGAAGGACGTAAAGATAGTAAAACAGAAAATAATAAAAATAAGAAGACAGACAGACATATATCATAAAAAACATTAATCTAAAGGTCAAACATTTACGACTTTATAAGTAAAGATCAAAGCTGCGCGGGTGTAAACCTTAAAGCACCACTACCATCTGTAAGGTCCAGAAGCAGCGCAGTTTTATAGGTCACTCGTACACCAAGTTAAACGTCATTGTGTCATTAGGAGAAGCACACACACACACACACACACACACACACACACACACACACACACACACACCTACTCCTACTACTACTTTGCTGCCACTCGGAATCGAGTATGACGATCATCCAGCGACGATATAATGATATGAGTTTTAAAGGATGTCACCTAGCTTGGTGAATTCTGAGGTGACAAAAGAGGCCAATACGGGACCGGCAGGGCCGATCAAATACTTTGTACATGTAGTGCGGGAGGGGCGGCATCAGCGTCTTTCCGTCATTGACGCTTGTCTGCCTCGTTATGCAGTCGGGCTAACTCGAAAGTATTGATTCCGTCTTGTGTGGTGATCCTACAAGCGTTACGGTATGGAGTAATCGTCTCCCAGGTGAGGGGGTCGATTTGGCATATTTTTCAGATCTGTCTTAAAATTATCCTTGTACCTTTTCAATTGCCCGCCTCTGTTTCGTTTACTATTCGTTAGGTGACTGTAAAGAAGCTGCTTTGGTAGTTTACTGTCTCCCATGCGGGTAACATGGCCAGTCCAGCGTAGGTGATCATGGATAATGGTAGCCTCGATGCTTCTACAGCTGCTTTCAGCAAGGATACTGGCATTTGTTTTCTTGTCTTCCCAGCGAACTCGAAGGATGATACTTAGACTATGTTGGTGAAAGTTTTCTACTGCCTTGAGGTGCCTCCTGTATGTAACCCATGTCTCGCTGCCATATAGCAGGGTGGAGAGGACCGCTGCTCGATATACAGTACGTGTAACTTTGTAGATAATTTTAGCTCCCTACAACTAAAGACGCGGCTTCAGAGTCTGCCAAAGGCTTGAAATGCACATCTGATCAGATGCTGAATCTCTTCATCTATGTCCGCAGTGGTGGACAGGTGGAAGCCGAGACCGAAAGTGGGTAACATTAGAGAGGGTAGTACTGTTAAGCTGGATGGATGGAGGTGTGGCTGAACCAGGAGCAGGCTGAAAGAGAATCTGAGTCTTACGTATATTCACCTCAAGGCCGAAGTGTGCATATGCATCTGCGTAGGTGTTCAGGATCTTCTGTAGGTCTCGTTCAGTGTGAGCGACATGGGTGAGGTCGTCTGCATACAGAAGCTCAGTAATGGAAGCTGCCGACACCTTCTTTCCTGCCTGGACTCGTCTTAGGTGAAAAGACCCTACATCCGGTTCCCGATGTCCACCCTGCTGGCTAAATTGGCACTGGCACGAGTAAGGAAGGCAGCCAAGAATATGGAAAAGAGACTTGGTACCAGTACACACCTCTGTTTAACCCCCGTTTGGATGGGGAAGAACTCAGACTGAGTGCCGTTGTGCAGGACACTGCCTTTCATCCCATCGTGGAGTTGCTTCACAAAGGCGTTGAAATTTTAGTGGGCAGCCAAAACAACTGAGGGTCCATCAGAAGGCTTCCCTGTTGACCGAGTCGAAGGCCTTGGTTAGGTCGATGAAAGCCACATACAGGTCAGGTCGCTGTTCTCTTCACTTTTCGTGTATCTGAAGGGCAACAAAACTCATATCAGTGGTGCCACATGATGGTCTAAGACCACAATAAGATTCTCTGAGGAAGTTTTCTACCTCGGGAAGAAGGCTGTTGAGGAGAATTCGGGCGATAATCTTGTCAGCTATGGACAGCAGCGAGATCCGGCGGGAGATGCCACAGTCTGACTAGTTTCCCTTGTTATTATAAATATTAACGATGGAGGCGTATCTATGAGCTTGTGGGATTTCCTCCTTTTCCCATATATTCTCCAGGAGAGAGTGGAGATGGCTGGTAAGCAGAGGTCCTCCTGCATTAAACACCTCGGCTGGGATTCCATCAGGCCCTAAGGCTTTGCTATTTTTCATCTGTTTGATGGCAGTAGCAACCTCATCCAGGGATGGAGGATAGCTGAGGTGGATCAGCTCTGGATGCTAAGGAACCTGCTGGGTAGTCAGGACATCCACATCGGTGTTTCGGTTGAACAGTAAATGGTAGTGCTCTTTCCATCGCTGAAGGAGGCCTTCATCGTCCTTGGATGATCGGAGGGGGGCGACGCCATGAGTGATTGGCCCATAAAATGTTTTAGTGGAACTGAAAACGTCGCGTATCTTCTACTGATCTGCAAATTTTTGTGTTTCACATGCTTTATTTTTAAACCAGTGGAACTGCTTTGACGAGCTGATGATCAGTGTCATCGTGGTCTGAGCCACGCATGTCTCGGGTGATGAAGACATCTCGGCAATCTCTTTCTCTGACAATGAGATGCCAGTGTTTAGATCGTGGGTGTTGCCACGAGCCCTTGAACTTGTCAGCCTGCCTAATCAAAGTATTGGCGATAGTAAGGTTGTGTGCAGCACACTCGCTGAGGAGGAGTAGGCCATTGGGATTACACTTGCCTAGTCCATTTCTCCCTATGGTTTCCTGCCAAATGTCAGCATATCTGCCAACTCTGACATTGAAGTCACGAAGGAGCACAAACTTACCATCTCTGGGGATAGAGGTTAGCACTTTAGAAGTTGTCATAAAAGGCTTCCTTGGTGTCATCCTCTGCATCCAGTGTTGGGGCATACACACTGATGAAAAGGGCATGACGTGAGTAATTCTTGTGCGACTTCGGAGCGTCATGAGGCACTCGTCGATCCCAATAGGCATTTCTGTTAGCCTGTGTAGGATGCGATGACGGATGGGAAAGCCAACTCCATAATTGCTGTTTCTCTCTGCAGCAGGCTTACCTTTCCAGAAGATGGTGTAGCCAGATTCTTGTTCTGTGAGTTGACCCTCGTCTGGGAGCCGGGACGCTGCTATATCGATGTTATACCTAGCCAACTCTTTTGCAACAAGGGTAGTTCTTCTATCAGGACGACCATAAGAGGTTGTATAGTTTTTTTATTATTTGGATCTGTGATTTTGATCGTGTTTTCGACCGCATAAGGATGATCTTACTGTGTGCAGTTGCCCAGTCAGGTTGTTTTTTAGGCAGACTATGTTTAGGGCACGTTTTCTAGCCCCCCCTCCCCATGTGGGCTGAGCAGAGTGGCTCCTTGAAAGGGCTGCTGTCACACAGACAGGACCAGATTGCAATGCTGCCTAGGTCCCAGTGCCTAAACGACCATCTTATGTGTGCCGCCCATGTGCAGAGTTGTGACTAGAGACTCACGGCAGTCATATCTACCTGTACCCGTCGCCACTCGTCCATCGCCATAGAACTTTTGGTGGTATAGGGGTTTTGATGATGATGAGAGGTATGATGAGCTGGACCGTGGCTGCGCCTGAGTTGATTTGTGTGGTGAGGCAGGAGTGCAGGCTGCAGCCACATATCTTGACTCTCCCTTTTCCTGATCCAGTGGTGCAAGTATTGCAATGACTGGGGAGAGGGAGAGTTGCAATGGACTGCCAATAGCCCAGTTTGTTGGGTTTCGCCTTAATAGCCTGTCCATCAGGCAGTACCTTCGTCCGCCGGTGTAGTCGTTGGGTTCCCATTGTGGTCACATCTTCTGCCTATACCGCCGTTAGAGTCTTGTAGGAGCTCTGTAAGCATGTCTGCCTGATGCAGGGCTCCATCGAAGATTTTTCGTTCGGAGTTTACTCCCATAGCCTTATACTTACCAAGGTTAATCCGCAAGGCAGCAGGGCAATGGTTGGTAGGCACCAGGACGTGTCCACATGCAACTGGGCCCATGCGCCATGCCGCCATCCCTCTGGGGCCCACTGCTACTCCGAGGTCCCCTGCTGGTCTAGCCTGCGCCCATTAGGCATCCAGTTACCGTGTGTTGCCACTAGGAGGCATAGCAGGAGTCTTGATGTTAAAAAGGCGTGTACTGGCAGAGGAAGACTTTTGTAAGTTGCTTCCCTATTCTCCATGAGGGCTAGCCAGCGGCGGCAGCTGAAAGCGAGAGTGAGCAAGCAGTGCTTGCACCTTAATACTAACATAAAGCTGCCACTTTAGACGCATTTCACCACCCTGCGTGGTCTGCATACACACACACACACACACGACAATACTCAAACAAATTATAGACTGTTTATATGTACAGAATTCGTCTGTCTACACAGTAAACTATATAAAGGATGGAGAGATACTTAGCCGTGTCAGCAAGTTCTATGTGTCCATATCTTGGCTCGGTAATTGATAGTGAATGACAAAGTGATAGACGCAATGAGAATGAAAACTGTAAGTATTTACCTAAATCAGTTAATAAAGTGTATTATGATCACATATTAGTATATTTGGATTATGTCATGAACACAACCCCACAGCTTTTTGCATCTTAAGATTTAATACCCTAATATTACCTGGAAATTAGGTTAGGTTAGGTTAGTATTAGAGTGGTTAACCTTTAAGTCAAAATAAGCTATGGGCTAACTTTCACGTGATCCATTCTTTTAATATTATTATTCTCTTAGGAGAGAGAGAGAGAGAGAGAGAGAGAGAGAGAGAGAGAGAGAGTCTGGGAACGAAAGGTGCGAGAGGAGAGAAATGGAAAAGAGAAAGTTATAGAAAAATAGAGAGATGGAATAAAGGGGGAGGGATAGACGGAAACAAAAATCAATTAATGAAATATGCAAAGAAAGAAAGAGAGAGAGAGAGAGATTATTAGAGAGAATGGATTTGCGTATAACTATAAGGTGTGACAATACAGTAATAACGTTTGACCTAGGTAAAGAAAACTTCCAAACTATTAACCGTTTTAATTTTATTTTTTCAGATGCGAGGAAGTGTTTGTGCCCATCATCAATCAAACAAACAAACCATCAAATGGACAAACAAACTGGTGATTAATTGTGAATAGAAAATATATATCTATATATTCATTTGATTGCTTTCGGAGAGCGGAAAAAAACTGTCATCGACTGGAACGCCAAAAAATATAATTGAATCAATAAATATTCATTCAATTAATTTACATACCGGTCATTAGTCAAACTGGGCGTGTGAATGAGGAGATAAAATCCCTATTGAAAGTCAAAAAACATATTTGTAGTTCATGAAAAAAACAAATTAAAATCGAGAAAAAAATAGAAAGAAATATATGGAAAATTTACCATGGATGTTTTAGTCCAAGAAAATGAAAATTAATGTTTGTAAAAAAAGTTAATGCAAACTGTATAATGATTTAGTGACGTGAGCAAAAAGATAATAATATGAAACAAGGATGACGGAGGATCATTGGCTGTGTTAAGTAGCACCTTATAAAGATCCCTCACGTGCAAAGAACAATAGCAGTCAGCTCAGACGTCAACTGACTAAATGCAGCCAAAAAAATTATAATTAGATTTTTTTGTGGATGAGATTATTAAAACCTTGATATGACTAAGGGTAAGAAATAAAATAATTACAACAAAATTAATGAAATAAAAATATAAAATTTAATTAAGTAACCTGCAGAAATTTAAAAAAATTAACTAGCTATAATTAATCAATCTCAAATTTTACCCTAAGGCCTTCCCGTAATACATTATATGATAAAAAAAAGGAAACAGGAAAACAAAGGCGACTAACAATTAAGCATTGGTTGTGCTTTACCGCCATTAAAAAACATCCTTTCTGTGCCGCAAAAAAAATAACATCGTTCAGTCAGGATAGGTGGACACCGAGTCAAATATTGTGAAACAGAGACATAACCAAATAAAATAGATCAAGAAGCTTCCTAATAATTCGTAATATTTTATGAAAAGTCTGAAATAATGGCTTAAATTTTCTTTTTAAAAATCTGAATTAATGACTCCAAATATTCATAAAGAATCTTTTTGTCCAGTGAAATGAAATATCTGACATCGGTAATTGCGTTTACGATGAACAGTATGTTATGAAGAGCCGAATTATTTCAAACCCAGGAAGCTTTAGCAATCTGTAGAGGCATCCTAGTAAAGAAATAATTCTAAACAGGACTTGAACTGACCTCGTGAGTCGACATGCGATCTGTTCGGGAGAGATGACCTGTTGAAGTGACTTAGAATGACCGTGGACAACGACTGGGACAAGTGACCTGGAGAACCGACGCGGATAAATAACGAAGAAAAACAAAATAGAGAAAAGGCCTGTCAGAAGAAACCCGGAGAAGAAAGGGAAGAAACCTCGAAAAGTGACCTGAGGAAGAGATCTGAAGAAAAGACCTGGAGAAGAGACCTAGAGAACAAAGAGAAGAAGCCTAGGAAAGCGTCCTGAAGAACCTCCCTTGAGTGTCGACCAAGAGCTGACTTGGAAGTGGCCTTGAGGTGACCTGAGTGACCTTGGGGGTGACGTGAGAGTGACCTTGGGGGTGACCTGGGAGCGACCTTGAGGTGACCTGGGAGTGACCTTGAAGTGACCTGAGTGACCTTGAGGTGGGCTGAAGGAGCATATCGACCTGGAGAAGCAACGTCTCTATGTCAGCCAGACCTTGACCACCACCGCTACCACCACCATCAACTCTACGTCGGCCATGCAGGGTGAGAAAGTGAGCGGGCGGGTGGCGACGTGGGTAGCAGGCGTCGTGGGCGTGTGGGCAGGTCTGGCTGCTCTAGGGGCCCTGGTGGCAGCCCTCATGTCCCCTCAGTGGGCCCTGGTGAGGGAGCCCATTGTCCTAGCGGAAAGTCCCAGCAGGGAGGCGCAGGAGGCGTGGTTGAGGGGTGCAGAGAGACACGAGAGCTTCCAACCTGTCGTTACTACCGTCACCTTCCGTCTTGGGCTCTGGACCGCCTGTCCTCACATCAACACTTCCCATCTACAATTCTGTGAGTATCAGCAATTCTATGAACATAACTTTGTTGTAGTGGTGCGCTAGTAGTATTTTAGTGACACTTAGATTATGTTTTAAAGGCTATTAGCGGTGCTTTACAATTGTCGTGATCTGCATGTCCCTCACACAGGCCTTAACCCCCCCTCATTACGTCCTTGAGTTTGTCTTAAAAGATAGTGTCTATGGTGCTGTGGTGGTGTTATAGTGATACTTAGTACAGTTTTGGTTAGTGTCTTGTTATGATGGTGGTGTAGTGGTGCTTTGGCACACAAGGGTCACAGACAGGTGTGTGGTTTATTTTTAAAGGGTTAAAATACCAAGGTAAGAGAAACAAGCTCCTCCTTGCCTGCCCGGTCAACTATTCATCGGCCAAGAGACCCGATGCTGTTGTCGGGACATCTCGAGGCTAGAATTTTAAACATCTCACTCGTGACACAGGCTCGACCTCTCAGAACTAAAGAACTAAGGGTCGTAGTTACAGGAAAGGGATTTGAAGACCAGGGGTTCTACATCTCAGGAGAGAAGAAGCCGAAATCCCAGAACAACAATTCAAGCATTGGGGTTTGAAATCTCACAATAGGAGGCTAAGAAACTTTCATAATGAGTGTTAATTTGAATGGCAACGAAACGGACCTGAATCTTGAATGCTCTTAAAAAAAAACTAAAAAATATAAAATAAATTTCCCATAAGCTGCTTCAGTGCGGTCTTGACAAAAGGTTCTCAATCAGTCTTTCAATCAGTTCCTCAGTCAGAATTGATAGTCATAGAGCTGCCCCGTGCATCTAAAAAAATTGTATGAATGTCACTGTCATAGAAATACCCTCACAACCTCCCTCTCCCATCTCCCTCTTCCCTCTCCTGCCCCTGCTCCAACCCTTTTCCTATTATCCCATTCAAATACCCTTTCCATCTTCCCTCTTCCCTTTCCCTCACCCCTCTCCGCATCCTTTCTCTCTAGTCTTCCCCTCCTCATGATCTTCCTCCTACCCCCTTCTGTTCCTTTCACCACACCCTTATCCTTCTCCTTCTCCCCCTTTGCTCCCTTGACTCTAAAGTGTCACCTTCCAGAAACTTGACTCTTACCTATTAATTATTACCTACTGTACTTCACAGGTGTGTGGGGAAATAAGGGGATGGGAGAATTAACGGGGAGGCAGAAGAGGGACAGGGGACATGTGAAAGAAATTTTATGGTAAAGGAGGGAATGGGGCAAGAAGAGATGGGTACAGGAGATGGGGAAGGAGGATATAGGGGAAGGAGGGTTAGGGTAGAGATAATGGAGAAGGAAAGGTTTGGGTAAATGAGGAGATGGATATCGAATCCCTAGAAAGCATACAGAGGAGGATGACAAGACTAATCCCGGGCATTAGGAACCTTGAGTATAGAGACATTAAAGCATCTGAATTTGCACTCCTCGAGAGACGTAGAGTGAGGGGCGATATGATTGAAGTGTATAAATGGAAGTCAGATTTAAACAAACGAACTCGTAGCAATGATTTTAAATTAGACAAATTTAGAGTTAGGCACGAGATAGGTAAACATTGGTTTGGAAATAGAGTAGTGGATGAGTGAAACAAGTTAACAAACATCCTCGTTAACTCGAACACGCGAGGTAGCTTCGAATATAGGTTGGACGGATATATGAGCGATAGGGGTTGGGTGTAAACGGGACTACCCAGTATGGACCAATAGGCCCGCTGCAGTTTCTTCTATTCTTATGCTCTTATAAAGGAAAGGTGGGGATAAAGAAGGAGTTGGGAAAGGAGAAATAGAGAAATAGGGGGAAAGGAGACGGGGCTCTCTCTCTCTCTCTCTCTCTCTCTCTCTCTCTCTCTCTCTCTCTCTCGGATTTCCAGCATAAAACATTTTCCCCCTATCAAAAAAAAGAAAGTAAATTTCTCTCGTATCACTGATATTTACAAGACAAACTTCATCTCTCCCAAAAGAAAGTCAGAAAGTATAAGAAAGTAGTCTTAAGAGGGAAAGGGTTCCTTCAGTGTGTATTTGTTCAGGCTCAACAAGGACCTACTGGACTAACAAAGACTTTTATATTAGTTCTGAACAGTTTATCCTCTTTTAAAACCTTATGGGAAATTCCATTATTTTAAGGTTTTAGAAAAGAGAGGTGGATTTTTTTTTTAGGATAGATAGGTGGATTTATGTTTTGTTTTAGGATAGATAGGTGGATTTTTTGTTTTAGGGTAGATAGGTGGATTTTTTGTTTTAGGGTAGATAGGTGGATTTATGTTTTGTTTTAGGATAGATAGGTGGATTTTTTTTAGGGTAGATAGGTGGATTTTTTGTTTTATGGTAGATAGGTGGATTTATGTTTTGTTTTAGGATAGATAGGTGGATTTTTTTTAGGGTAGATAGGTGGATTTTTTGTTTTAGGGTAGATAGGTGGATTTATGTTTTGTTTTAGGATAGATAGGTGGATTTTTTTTAGGGTAGATAGGTGGATTTTTTGTTTTAGGGTAAATAGGTGGATTTTTTATTGTTTTCGGATAGATAGGTGGATTTTTTTTATAGGGTAGATAGGTGGATTTTTGGTTTTTGTAGGATAAATAGGTGGATTTTTTTGTGTTTTAGGACAGATAGGTGGATCTTTTATTGTTTTACGATAGATAGATGGATTTTTTATACCTAAATATGGAGTACAGTATTTAAGAGTGTATATGGATTTTGTACGATCTTAAAGGGAGTCTAGCATTACAGTAGAGTAGGTTAAGGGGTTTACATAACTACACTAAGGGATAGACATATTTAGATAAGAAATAAAGTTGTTACGTTATTAAAGTAAAAAGCTCCAGTACTGCCCCCAATTTCCCTTAAATATTTTGAATATATGAATATATTTTACCATTCTAAACCATAACTGGGATAAATAGGAGTCTCTAATGTACAAAATTAGCTGTAAAATTTTCGGGCTTATCTTTAAATACCACCCAAATTTACTGATTTTTTTTTCATATACATTTCACATAATTTTGATTTTCTTTAATCTATATAGGTAAAATAGTCAGATGTGTTCATATACATTAAAAAAAAAAATAAAGTTCCTGAACTAAACGTAAAGTGTTAGATACTTCATATACATTTCACATAACTGTAATTCCCCTTAATTATATATGTAAAAGAAAGTGTTATAATTTTTAACATACTTTTCACAAAACTTTAACAGTAATTGATAGATGGATAAAGTAGAATATTTTCCCCCACGACTATCTCTTGATCACCTCACGTTTTATCCACATTCCCTCGTCTGTTGTATATTCATTTGATAACTTACAATGTGTTATTTTTTTCCTATCTCACTGACATTCTATGACTAAAAAAAAAATACATAAAATTCTGACCAAAAAATACGAGTTTCATCGATTTCCCATAAAGAATTAACCCAACTAAAATCTTTTGCCTCTCCCGTAAATGAAAAAGTTTCCATCGATTTCCTATACAGAATTAACCAACTTAAAATTCCGTCTCCTCTCCGTATATGAATGAGTGACTTCCCATCGATTCTCCATAAAAGGATTAATCCGCCCCTCCCCTCCCCCCCAAAAAAAAGTTCCTATCGATTTCTCATAAATAATAATAAAAAAGAACAAAAAATTTCATTGATTTTTCATTACCCCCAAAAATCGACCATTGCAAAATTTCATCCAAATTATATGAATTTCCATCATTTTCGCTAAATTTTACCCAGACTCTCCCTAGCACACGCCTCCTCCTCCTCCTCCACCACCTACTCCTCCTCTTCCTCCTCCTCCTCCTCCACCACCTCCTCCTCCTCCTCCTCCTCCTCCTCCTCGTCCTCGTCCTCCTCCTCCTCCTTCTCCTCTCAGTCGATGATCTCCACACTAATTAAAAATTCCCATCATATTTTAAAAGTAAACCAGGGGGGAGCGAGTCTAGCCTGATGGCGAGGAGGATAGGCAGGGATTAACAGGTGGAAGGGGCGGATAGAGGACAGGAGAGTGGTGAAGAGGGAAGGACGAGTGGGAGGGGCGGATAGAGGACAGGAGAGTGGTGAAGAAGGAAGGACGAGTGGGAGGGGCGGAGAGTGGTGAATAGGGAAGGACAGTGGGAGGGGTGGATAGGGACAGGAGAGTGTGGTGGAAGGACGAGGGGAGGGCGGATAGGAAGGACAGGACAGAGACTGGTGAAGAAGGGAAGGACGAGGGGGAGGGGCGGATGAGGACAGGAGAGTGGTGAAGAGGGGAGGACGAGGTGGGGAGGGGTGGATAGAGGACAGGAGTGGTGGAGGGAAGGACGAGAGGACAGGAGAGTGGTGAAGAGGGAAGGACGAGGTGGTGAAGAGGGGAAGGACGAGGGGAGGGTGGATAGAGGACAGGAGAGTGGTGAAGAGGGAAGGACGAGTGGGAGGGGCGGATAGAGGACAGGAGAGTGGTGAAGAGGGAAGGACGAGTGGGAGGGGCGGATAGAGGACAGGAGAGTGGTGAAGAGGGAAGGACGAGTGGGAGGGGCGGATAGAGGACAGGAGAGTGTGGTGGAGAGGGAAGAACGGATGGTAAGGGAGGATAGAGAAGAACAGGCAGAAGGAACGGATATGAACAGACGGAAGAGAGACAGATGGATAGGGAAGGACCAGAAGAAGGAATACTTAAGATACTGTCACCTGTCCAACGAGTCTGTTTGCCCTTCTCTCCGTCTATCTTCTCATCATTTAACCTGTCTATCAATGCATCTATCGTCTATCATGTCTGTCAATCTAATCCATCTATCCGCCAATCTATCTATGTTCTCTCTAAGTAACCTATAGCTATTTATTTCTACACAACCCCTGTCTATATAATCTATCTGTCTAATCTGTCTTGTCGTCTCAATCGTGACTAAGAACTGCTGTCTATCTAACCAATCTGTTTATCTCTCTCTCTCTCTCTCTCTCTCGATATTTACCTATTTATCTTTCCTTCTCTCCAACCTTCTATCTCTTTAACAATCTATTAACGCCCCTCAATTTATTCAACCGTCTA